GACTCAGAATAAGTCATTGAGAGTAATGGATAATCAATGAGTTATATACACAACCAAGCTTGTTCATTACAGTTGTAATGTCAAGATATTCCACAATGATGTTGGAGAATGAAGCAATTATACCATAGATCTACTATAGAAACCATATTTCCATAAGATTACCAATATCACAGCCACAATTTTGCTACTTGCTACACCTGTCATATCACAGCTCTGACCACCTCAACTTTTTAAGGCAGTCAGACTATATCTTAGTGTCTGCCAGCTCTCACAGTCCCTAATAATCCCCTGCATTTGCTTTATCCTTGCTATCCTTTTCTTCAAGCTCTAAGGAGGGGGGGACTTCACTCCTAGATGATGAGGTTATGATATTTCTATAGAAATGAGATAAGAGACTATCAATATGTCAGTGTGATTCTGTAGGTATTGTAGTATAGTTTCCTTACCTCAGTCAATGAATAAAAGACTGAGATGTAACAGTAAATGAGGGGCAAGTAAGTATTAGTTTGAGGGAATATCTGATGTACATACTAGGAAGGTGTTTGACACGTGAATTTGTGCCACTGTGATTGTTGGTGTCTACCTGCTGCTCATACCTGTTGTGTGTTGACTGCACACTCTCTACACTAGGCTGGGAACATCTATTGTGCATGGCTGGAAGCCAAAGACACAAAACTAAAGCTAACAAGGTCCTAGTTTGCTTTAAGGAGTGATGATAATGGGGACCTCATTTCCCTAGACAAGGGGTGCTGGGCATGTCCAAAGGCATTATTGCCTGGCTGAAGGGATTGGGAGAGCCAGAAGAAGAAGTGGGATGGGATAGAAAGGCAGATTTGGGAAGTCAAAAGGAGTATCAGAGCAGGGGTTTGACAACCTCCTGGGTACAATGACAAAACCAAGTAAACCTGGTTTCTGTTACGATAACATATTTTTCGACCTTTAATTTTCATTCTCCTCTTTAACCTTTTACTGTAGTTTTCACACTCCGTGCCATGTGGCACCCCCCCTTTTGTTCAAACTCCTCTTTCTCGTGCGGCGCTGCTTTTATTCTCATTTAGCTACAAGTATCTCACGCAGCGGAGCTGGTTACAGGGGCTGCGCTGTCGATGATGAGAACTGCTGTTAGAAAACCACACACAAAAACAAACTAACACACAATCCTCCCAGATTCCACGGAACTTGTTTATGGGCTTTGCCTCCTAGAACAGTGGGTGCTCTGTTTGTTTGTGGGGTGGTATGTATGAAGATCCTTCAAAGTAAAGCCCAGAGATGTATGGGTGTGGGTTTTGAGGAGGAGGGATAGTTGGAATATAGAAAGATAGGGGCTTTGTGACGAGTATAGACGAGCACTACCTTGCTAATTGTAGCACAAGGTAGGTTTGAGAACGACAAAATGGTGAGGTTCCCAGTGATAGCAGGCTCCTGACGCACAGACTGTAGTGCTCAGAAGGACTCTAATTGAAAGGGATGACAATCACTTTCAAAAGTGACCAATGACGATGACAGCAGTTGACAGTGGTAGTAGTGGGAAGTGTTGTGACCACACTGGATCACAAGTAGTAGTGAGTAGTGAACTTAAAATTAGAGAAGGAGTCTGGAATTGAGTTCTTGTTATTTTACAAGGTAAAATACAGGGGTTTATATAGTAAAAGAAAAGTAGGCTATACACAGTATAGCTGTGCAAAAAGAATGAGAAAGAACATGAAGGAAGGAATGTATGCTGACAAATCCTGCATAGGTAGTACAGGATAAGATTGTCAAAAAAGGAAAAGGAAGGGATAGAACAATGAATGCTGTGAGTAATGTCACAGGTTTGTACAGCCATAAAGTAAAGTCCAATAGCAAAAAGAGAGCAGGAAAATTATGTTGTCATGGGAAGATGGAGTAAAAAAAGGGCAAGGCAAAACACTATCAGTATCAACACAGTTCCTTTATTGTCAGTCAGACATTCTAAAAAAATATGTGTCCATAAAAATGATTCAAAAATCAAAAATAATTGCACTGTAAATGAATGTTCTGCTGAAAAAAAAGAAACTGGAGCCACCAGTCCACCACCTAGTCCAAATCCGACAGTTCCATGGCCTTACCAATGGACTGGTTGTGTTGGACCACCTGATCAAACAAGGGAGGGAGAGGAGTAGTCCCAATTTGGAACAAGTGAGTCCCAGGCAGCGTGTGGTAGGTGTAGCTGTAGCGAAGACGATGGACAAAAGATATGTGTACCCAAGTGAATGGGACAGCAATGAACATGGGCAACGCAAGGGGATGAACCTTCTCCAGCTCAAAAACTACCCACCCACGCTCCAACCAGGCAAGATGAGCGACCAATGTTTTGATAGTATATGATGGCAGATCACCGTCATGAAGATGGACCTGTTGCCCTGTTTGGACCGGCCGCTGTCATGCACCAAAGTTGATTGGTAGCATGGACAGGTGTCAATAACAAAGCGAATATTCAAAAAGACTCGCCTTTGCGCCACACAGGCACAGTGCCACGTGGAATAATAATTAATATTGCCTTTTTCGAACTTGTGGCTGATCAGCACCACCTCTATTAGGCAATCCAGTCGCGCTCACCTTTGCTTTTCCATTTGGTACTTTTGGCATTTTGGCATTTTGGCAAATTTTCGCGTCGCCACTGGCTACACATTGCATTGCGCCCTCGCTTTTGTCGTTTCCTTCACTTCCCTTCCTTTGCCTAGCCCCACCATGG